CTAATGATCCTTCCCAAGGGGAAATATTTTTTTTGGTAATCATATCATTGTGGGTGGTTCTCAACTCATCATTTTACGATAGACTAACTTACTACCGTGTCTAGGTTTTACCTAAAATTAAGCAAATCGTTGCTAAACTACAATCACCAATTAAAATCAAAGGGACCATCCTGGACTTTGTGAATGAATATAAATACCTCAGCTATGTGCTAACAACGAATGACATTAATTAAAATTTGAATTAAAATATTTAACAAATGCAACCAGTCCGAGAACACATTTGGACGTGCATTGCCTCAGATATAATTATCCATGAAAAATATGAATATGAATATATATAAAAAAAAAAAAAAAAAAAAAAAAAAAAAAAAAAAAAAAAAAAAAAATATATATATATATATATATATATATATATATATATATATATATATATATATATATATATATATAATTGTTGATGGTAAGTATAAGTATAATTATTCTTTAAAGTAAGAAATCAAAATCACCCATGAGAAATGTATGATTATTACATAATTAGTCATCTATTATAAACATTTATTCATGATGAATATAATCATCTATGTAGAGTTTATGGGAATGATATGCCATCATAACTAACCATTCAATACTGTTATTTTATGAATCTAAACACAAAATCGTAACTCCTAATTTATCCCCAGTCTTCTTTCCCAGCTGAGCAACAGCTAATCTTTCCCTATGCATCTTATCTGCAGCATTCCGAATGCATGGGGGTTGAAAAGCCTCGGTGATAAGACGCAACACCCACCCCCAGCAGCGTACTTCGAGTGAGTGACATAACTGTCAACTGTCCCCGACCGTGTGACCACGTCCCATTAGTTTGCGTCTGGTGTGGCCACGTCCTATTAGTTTGCGTCTGGTGTGGCCACGTCCCATTAGTTTGCGTCCAGAGTGGCCACGTCCCATTAGTTTGCGTCCGGAGTGGCCGCGTCCCATTAGTTAGCGTCCGGAGTGGCCGCGTCCCATTAGTTTGCGTTCGGAGTGGCCACGTCCCATTAGTTTGCGTCCGGAGTGGCCGCGTCCCATTAGTTTGCGTCCGGAGTGGCCGCGTCCCATTAGTTTGCGTCCGGAGTGGCCGCGTCCCATTAGTTTGCGTCCGGAGTGGCCGCGTCCATTAGTTTGCGTCCGGAGTGGCCGACGTCCCATTAGTTTGCGTCCGGAGTGGCCGCGTCCCATTAGTTTTGCGTCCGGAGTGGCCAGCGTCCCACATTAGTTGCGTCCGGAGTGGCCGCGTCCCATTAGTTTGCGTCCGGAGTGGCCGCGTCCCATTAGTTTGCGTTCCGGAGTGGCCACGTCCCATTAGTTTGCGTCCGGAGTGGCCGCGTCCCATTAGTTTGCGTCCGGAGTGGCCACGTCCCATTAGTTTGCGTCCGGAGTGGCCACGTCCCATTAGTTTGCGTCCGGAGTGGCCGCGTCCCATTAGTTTGCGTCCGGAGTGGCCGCGTCCCATTAGTTTGCGTCCGGAGTGGCCGCGTCCCATTAGTTTGCGTCCGGAGTGGCCACGTCCCATTAGTTTGCGTCCGGAGTGGCCGCGTCCCATTAGTTTGCGTCCGGAGTGGCCGCGTCCCATTAGTTTGCGTTCGGAGTGGCCACGTCCCATTAGTTTGCGTCCGGAGTGGCCACGTCCCATTAGTTTGCGTCCGGAGTGGCCGCGTCCCATTAGTTTGCGTCCGGAGTGGCCAGGTCCCATTAGTTTGCGTCCGGAGTGGCCACGTCCCATTAGTTTGCGTCCGGAGTGGCCAGGTCCCATTAGTTTGCGTCCGGAGTGGCCACGTCCCATTAGTTTGCGTCCGGAGTGACCGCGTCCCATTAGTTTGCGTCCGGAGTGACCGCGTCCCATTAGTTTGCGTCCGGAGTGGCCGCGTCCCATTAGTTTGCGTTCGGAGTGGCCACGTCCCATTAGTTTGCGTCCGGAGTGGCCACGTCCCATTAGTTTGTGTCCGGAGTGGCCGCGTCCCATTAGTTTGCGTCCGGAGTGGCCAGGTCCCATTAGTTTGCGTCCGGAGTGGCCACGTCCCATTAGTTTGCGTCCGGAGTGGCCGCGTCCCCATTAGTTTGCGTCCGGAGTGACCGCGTCCCATTAGTTTGCGTCCGGAGTGGCCACGTCCCATTAGTTTGCGTTCGGAATGGCCAGGTCCCATTAGTTTGCGTCCGGAGTGGCCACGTCCCATTAGTTTGCGTCCGGAGTGGCCGCGTCCCATTAGTTTGCGTCCGGAGTGGCCACGTCCCATTAGTTTGCGTTCGGAGTGACCACGTCCCGTTAGTTTGCGTTCGGTGTCGTTCGGAGTGGACACGTCCCCATTAGTTTGCGTTCGGAGTGGCCACGTCCATTAGTTTGCGTCGGAGTGGCCACGTCCCATTATTTGCGTCCGGAGTGGCAACGTCCCATTAGTTTGCGTCCGGAGTGGCCACGTCCCATTAGTTTGCGTCCGGACGTGGCCGCGTCCCATTAGTTTGCGTC